TATTATGATTACTTTTTGCAATATGGGTCGAGTGTATGTATTACAATACGATGTTACGTATAGAAAGATAAATAATATGAAAATCGCATTCAAAAACTGTCTTTGGTTATAACATCAAAAACCACTTACCAGCCTGACAGGCCGAATGGATGATCGTCCAGTTCAAGTCGTCGTTTTTCAGATCCACGACGACGGAGCCGTGTTCGAGCATGAGCTGCGTYAGTAACAAGTTGTTCCGTGCGACCACCATGAGCAGGGGCGCCAGTGACGAACCGGGCACACGGTTCACGCTAGCACCCGCCAAAACCATCAGCCTGACCATCGAGTCGTTTTGCTGCCAAAACAGGGCGGTCATCAACGGTGTGCGKAACTTGTTGTCGAGGAGGTCCACGCGGGCGCCGGCCTGCAACAAAGCCACCGCCCCCGCCTCATTGCCACGTCTGGCAGCCAAGTGTAGTGCCGTTTCCTGGTTGCACGTCTGAAAATCGATCAGTTCCCGGCCGCAGGTCTTCATCAACATCGTCTGCAGTATCCGGACGGGAAATTGGTAGAAAACGGCAAAATGAAGACACGTCCAACTGCGAATCGCACACAAACACATAGACATTTCTGAGTTAAATGTACAACAAACAGATAGGTCATATCTTATATGCTATAATATTAGCGCAAATATGGTGGGGTGGGCAGTGGCGTAGTGTATCATAAAATAAATTGTTGTTACTCAAATTATTTGAGGTGATATACTMATCAGAATATTGTTATACCGAAATAAAAAACGTACTATTTTTCTTCCATCAATAACCATATATTATATAGGCGTTGCCATGAGCATCACTTGAGCCCTATACTACACGCCACTGATGGTGAGGTGAAAGGAGTGTTTGCGGACCGGTCCCCTAAATTTCTGACATGCCTCAATATAAAAATGTGTAAGCGGTACTAAGCGAATATGATTTTTTAAAAATATTTCAGCGGGGGAGGGGGGGGGTTATCCTTCCAAAAAAATTAAAAAATAAATTGAATACACTGTATTATAACAAATAAACATTTAATCCAATACACGTGATATTTTCTTTCGAACGATAACAATTACCCGTTGAGGTCGTGTACCATGGGATCGGCGCCCTTCTCTAGCAAGAACTGTGTGGCCCTCACGTTCTTGCTCTTCGCGACCAGTAGAAGTGCCGTGAACCCCGTCGACATGTCCTTGTAATCTATGTGCGCTCCACGGTTGAGCAGCTTGTTCATCAGTATAATATTGTCTCGTGTCGCGGCTTTGTAAAACGCTTTGTTCACCACAATTTTCGGCATGTTACAGTTCAGCAGTGCGTCTAAACATCGTCTACAAAAAAAAAAAAAAACATATAATTATTAATAATATTAACTTATATTGTATTATATTGCACGCATAAAAAGCACATATCGCAAACATCGAACCGTTCGATTCGCGTTGTTATTACACACGGTGTACACGTTGTTTTTTTTTTTCAAAGGTAGGACTGGACAAGTCAACGGAAATAATTGACTCAAGTTAAGGTTTTAAGCTAAGTGTTAAATATCGTTGAGTTATAGAAGTTAATAGTTTATAAATAATAGATTTAAACTGCTATAAACTTAAAGTTAATATGGAATAAATATAAACTTAGTTTAATTTAAGTAACAATAAATTTACCTATAATCTACTTTTTCAATTAGTACCAACGTGGATCACATAAAAAGTATATGCCTAACCACCTAATATTAGTTTATCAAGAAACATGATAGAAATATTAAAGTATAATTAGATTATTAATATTTAAAACTTGGTAAACTGCAGTAATTAATGTGTAAAACCACCATTCAAATCAATAAATTTCTACAACATGATAAATTATTTTTATGTAATAGACTGAAAAAATCKTATTGTTATTTTCGAGTTTATTTCAATAGTTGATTCAACTAGTTAAGTTTAAAGTTAATTTGAAAATTAATTTACTAGTAANAGTTATATAATAAATACGCAATGTGTTCAGCAAACATTAAAATATCAACCTACTGTATACTAAAAGTAAAATAAATTTCTTTAATGGCAATATAAAAAAAAGAGGTATTATAAAATATATATGTAGTAATACAAGTTGACAAGCTGTCTTCAGGATTCTAAGATATTTAATTTAACACATACATTGCAGTGGCTAGTTCAATGTCCAATGACAAGATATACTCGATACGTACAATCATATAGCAAACCTACTGTCCCTATTTTTTACCTCACCTGTTGACTATATTCAGGGTATATTTAATTTTGTGGTTCACGAGGTTTTTTCCATGATAATACATTTCAAAATCGTTAAGAACGCAAATTTATCAATAGCAAAATCAATTTTTCAATGGTGATAAGTGATAACTGTTTTTAATGAATTTAGGTATAGGTAGGCGCAGTGGTGGCGTGACAAAGATTGTATGAGACCCGGGTCTCATGGCGATTTAGGTGGGTGGATGGGTGCTTGGAGTCGGTACCTAGGTTCTAGATACCGTGTTGGTAGTTGGTACACAATTATGTAGTCCCTAACATTATATCCTACCTACAGAGTACAGTTACAATGTTATATTATTAACATTATAATAAATATACTAGTAAGCTATTTATAATCAAAGTTTTAGATATGCCTAGTTAACTTATAAACAAGAAGCAAGGAATACATATTCTCCTTGTCTGCTTATCGTGGTCACTACCTATATCATAAAATATTATATAATAGATTATTATTAATGTTCTATGCCAATATAGTAGCTGCAATGACAACAACTTGTAAAATCCCGTATAGCTAAATCTATTTTTAGTATCAGAGTCAAAACAAGTTGTATCTAAAAATTAAATGACAATTGCGCCTGAACGGAACTTACTGTAATAGTGTAATCGTATTGTTATCATATTGTTAATATTTTATACTTTGTAGAGTATAGTAAGATTTTAAAATTTTCAATAGTTTTTTGAAAATGGATAAACTAAGTGTTTGTGCGGTTTGTGGTAAAAATCGCGATAAATTAAATAGTACTAACTAGGGTCGTCATCTGAAGAAATGCAACAATAAAAAAACCACTAAATTGACTCAAATATCAAGTTTTTTTCAGTTGAATCTTCATTAAAGGTTATTGAAATTATTACAAGTAAGTAATTTACAGTTGATTAAAAYAAATATTAATTATTTAATTTCAATTTTTAAATTTATAGTGTCACAGTGACACAATGTGATGAYATGATCACAATAATTTTAAACCGATTTTATACACTGTGCATTGAATTGTACATTSAAAAATTAAAATGTATTCATTTTCATTATACATATTACATAGTTGAAAAATGAAAATGGGTTGAGACGGCTGAGCGCACTTTCAAGTTTCAAAATATTTGGTGTATATTCCTATTTTAAATAATATGTATTTTTCAAGGTGCTTCTTTGAAGTCTGGACTTGGTGAATCTAGTAATGCTCATAACACTAGTACAAATTCTGGCAAAATGATTGATACAAGTTCACAACTTGACTATTTTAATGAATGTAATGCAACTTGCGATCCATCTAATTTTAAGATACATGAAGTTGATGGAGGTAAATATTAAATTTTTTCTGTTTATACTGTAAAGATATTAATATTAGAGTATTTTCTGATATTTTAATTGTGTTATTACTAAACTTTTTTTTTTTTTAATTGTTTAAGAAGTATAAAAATGCACAATATTATAAAAAGTAGTCAAATTGTATTTTGTTAAATTATTTAATTTTAGAAGTATTCAAAAATAATGCTATGCATTTTTCAAGGTGCTTCTTGAAGTCTGAACTTGGCGAATCTAGTAGTATAGGTACTACCTACTTAGGTAATACGTTGAAAATCCGATTCTCAACGGATAGCCTTTATTTTAAGGATAGGACATTATATAAATAATTTATATTGCTTTATTAGTAATTTTTATTTCTATTAGTTGAGAACTTGTTGCCTGTTGGTAGTATAAATAGGTAATTTAAAATCGAAGTATTTTGAAATCTTTTTAATGTCCCATGTCCTATGTAGTGACAAAAAGTTTTAAGTCTATAAGACAAATTAAAAACTAAAAAATTCGTTTTTTTTCGCTTAAACATTCAATTTATATAAAAAAAATTAATATTCGAGATTTTCAGTTTGTTGTAAAAGCAACTTATGAAAAACCTATTATTAAATTGTCTAGATTTTGAATATGATCAACATAATATTATAAGGGGATAAAAATTCTAAATAGAAAATGTTAAATGTCTATAAATTGCATTGTATATAAAACATGATAATTTAAGCACATAATAATGGAATGTTTTAGTTAATATATTTTGTAACAGTAACAAAATTTTAAAAATTGTTTGAGGATAAATCGTAAAAATTTAACAATTGAATATTATGCAATTTCGTCAAAACTTGAACTCAAATCGCTCAAAAAAATATTTATATTGCTTTACRGAAGTTATTGATTTACTAGACCGCGGCATAARTTATTTCCCAAACTARTTTTTCTTCAAGTAAAGATTTCGATTTTTTTCTTCGACACTTATGTAATAATATAAATATTGTTGTTAGCGTTATCAATGTTCTTCGTTTTTTGTTATTTCGACCGTACTATAGAAGATTTTTTATATCCTTTTTCCAGTGTAACTTTTGAGTTATTTATGATCGTATACTGATAATAGATCTTAATTAATTAGTACACTATAGTACATATTTTAATAATAATTGTTTTTCGTACAGTAACTACCAAATTAGAAATTTTAATAAAATTTCTTTTTATGTGACAACTAAATGTATAATACGAATTCAGATGAATATAAATCTACGTCCACTAACATAAATTGTAATATATTAAAGTTMTACAGAAGATGTATTAATTTAAAAAAAGAAGTGATACCTAATGAGCAGTTGGCARCCATCATCCCAGGTGACTTATGTTACATAATTTTGTACTTTGAATGTAGACATGTAGTTATTAAATTGTTAGGTAAGTTATTCTACTTAATTGTTCCCAATTTGAGCGCTGAATTTWTTATTATTTTAAACACCAGCTGATGCTGATAATAACCGGTCGGTGTCGTTAGGTTTAAAATTATATAATATACACTTACATTCCACATGTACAGCGGAACGACTTAACTACCTGCACGTGTTTGTGTTCTATAATTTTACACTTCTAACGTTGTTTATAAATTGTAAGATGAGCTTTTCTCCTAAATCGTTTTTAACTTTAGAACTGATAGTTATTGTTTTAATGCCATTTTACGCTGATAACAGTGGCGATCAAATCATCTTTCATTTTATGTAGGACGAGGCTTATTTATAATTCGCAATTTGATCATCACAAACATAATGATGGATTAAAGATTCATTTATTAATTAAAAACAGRAATCAAAACTAAAAAGTTAATCAATAGGTAACAAAAAAAAAAAAAAAACATATTTGCATGTTAGCCTGATATATACTATTCACTTGAAAATTGAGTTGTATTTACAACTCCACAATGAACAGCAATTGTGGCCAAGCTATTGTTACGACTATTGAAAAACATAATAATTACACCAATTAAAAACACGATATTATTATTAATTATTATTAATACAATTATAGATATTAAAGTTTTAAATCAATATGTTTAATTTCACTATGAAAGAAATGAAATGCGCGTGCTGTACTATTATCGGAAGAGGACTTTGGCTTCGGATCTGCGGGGCGCCTTCGAGATGGGAAACTATATGCTGCGGTGAAGCGTTATTCAATCACGCGCAACCGGCGGCTGACCCACTGTCCCATCGGCCGAACGGCGGATTACCCTGTGCACGTGGCCGCGCAGTTTGGCCACCGGCACATCGTCCGACTTCTGTTGAACCGCGGCGCCGATCCCAACGCCCGGAACAAGCACATGAAGACACCARGTGCTTACTACTCATCGGCCACGGCGCCGACSCGGCCGCTACCGACAGTGCCGACAACACGCCCTTGGWCTTGGCCACATTGATGAATGACAAGTATGTTGTATCTCGTATGTACCTGTTTTAATATATTCCCACAATATTGCAGAGGTKTATCATTATAGAACAATAATTTTGATTGACGGGGGAAAAGCCTAGAAATATAAATATAAATGTGAACACAATATGTATTCTCTACTACAACTAATGACATATGTAAATGACCCTTGCACGCGAAAAGATCGTCCGATAAACAA